ACTTTTGATAGAAAAATATAATACTTAAGGGTTGAAGATTTATGTATAAGAAAAATAATACTCCACGAAAAACTCAATCAGTTTTACGGGTAAATTAAATATCATGATTTAGGTCAGATCATGAGGTGTCCTGAATAGGCCCTAACTATAAGAGGCAGCTTTAAGCTCGTATCATACTCAGACTAATTCTCATTTGCATTGGACCGACCCAATTAAAGGGCAAAGCGTTGACCAGATTGATTTTTTCGAAAGAGAGTTTGAACTCCCGATCTCTTTTAATGGATGAGAGTGCACTCCTATTTTCCAAGGAATTTGAAAACATTTTCAACTAATGAAAACACTCGTATTTTCCAAGGAATTGAAAGACTGTCAGGATTTTCTAGTCCTTAGGCCCGTTTTATACGCATGAACTACGTTGAAAGTAATTATTGACTTCAATTCTAGTATTTTTATTTATTTTTTTTTGGAACAAAAGTTGAGTAAATTTTCATATGTTTTTTTTTTTTTTATTTTTTAAATAAAGTTAAATCAATCACTACTTGGGGAGTTGAGGGTATATTAAAACTCAATTAATGTGTATTAAACATCATGGTTTGTCTACCACATAGGATATCAACTCACATATTCACCATATTATCTTCTTCCAAAATTTAAAAAAAAAAATTAAAAAAAGATCATATCTGGCAGCTATGGCTACCATGGTTTCTGATTTGTGTTCTTTATTAATTTCTTGGACGAAGACGGTCGTTGGAAGACCAGATATGGGTCTTTGTTTCCTTGACGAAGAGTGCATTTGGTACGAAAGGACTTTACTTTAATTTGTTCACACTAGCTACTCATACTACTTTATCAAGTCTTCTATGGTCTGGTCTTTGTTGAAAGAGATGCCACTAAATTAAAATAATAATATGCATCCTCCTACTCCTATATGTGTGTATATATTCACTACAAACTCTACAAAGAACTCCACTCAGATCAATTCTATTCTGTTACTACTAAATAAAATAATAACATTTCAAAAATGGCATGCAAAATGCGTAAGAGCAATTACACTGCACTTGTTCACTTCATTTCACTTATTGCTATTTTTATTCATACTTTCACACAAGGAGTTGGAGCCCAGAACACTACAGTAAGGTGTTTGGAGAGGGAGAGGGAAGCTCTTCTAGAGTTCAAGAAAGGGGTTTTGGATGAAGATGGCGTTCTGTCTTCATGGGGAAGAGCTCTTGAATGCTGTAAATGGTGGGGTGTTCGTTGCAGCGATGGCCATGTAACTGTTCTTGATCTTCACTGCCCTGTGGACGATTATGGCTTTCCGCTTCAGACGCCGCTGCGCGGAAAGGTGAGTCCTTTGCTTCAACTGCGGCATCTGGGTTATCTTGATCTTAGTTACAATGATTTCCAGGGATATAACATCCCAGATTTCATTGGTTCCCTCCATAGTTTAAGAGTCTTGAATCTCAGTTCTGCTATGTTTTCTGGTAAAGTTCCAAATCAGCTGGGGAATCTTACCAATCTCCAAGTTCTTGATCTGAGCAGAAATGACTTTCTTCCCATCTCAAATCTTGAGTTTCTCTCTCATCTCTCTTCCCTGAAATACATTGATCTCACTGCCCTTCGTTTTGAAGTGAGAGAGTTTGTGAAAACAAGTGTCACCCTCCCTACCTCCCTTGAGGAACTGAAACTCTCCTATTGCAAACTCTCTGATCTTACACCTTTCTCTGCTAATTCTTCTTCTTCAACCTCTCTTTCAGTGGTTGATTTGTCACTTAACAATCTCACTTCTCCTTCAGTTTTCAAATGGCTGCAAAACTTTAACACAACTCTCACTAGCATTGACCTGTCTCATAATGACAACTTAGGAGGCTCCATACCAGACGCATTTCAAGGAATGAAATTTCTCCGGAGCTTCAATCTTAGTTCAAACAATTTCACCGGAGGCATTCCCAACTCTTTGGGAAATTTGAGCCATTTGACCTCTCTGGCGTTAAATTTTAATGGATTGAAAGAACCCCTTCCTGATCTACTTGAAAAGTTATCAAAGCGTGCTGGGAAGTCGCTACAGTTCTTGCGGTTAGATGGCAATGAACTCTTTGGTCCACTCCCAGATATTACAACCCAATTTCCATTCTTGAGAAAGTTGAAAGCATCATATAACAACTTGAATGGTTCATTGTCGTCGAGCTTTGGACTGCCTCCAAGTCTTGAGGAACTAGACCTGGAAAGTAACGAGATCACGGGGTCATTTCCAGACATCAAAAGTCTTGGAATTGTGTCTGGTCTTAGAGTTCTTGATTTGAGCCAAAATAACATATCAGGAACGTTGCCAGATTTAACGCCATTCCCATCAATGGAAAAGCTTCTTCTTGGTATAAATCAGTTGAGAGGTGTCTTACCTGAAAGCATAGGCCAACTATCCAAGCTTCAAAGTTTGGATGTTAGAGCAAATTCATTTGAAGGAGTGATGAATGAAGCCCACTTTTTGAAGCTTTCCAACTTAAAAATGCTGAAGCTGTCCTTCAACTCGGGGCTATCTTTCAACTTCAGCCCTGATTGGATCCCTCCCTTTAAGCTAGATGTCATGCATTTCACAAGCTGCAAATTGGGTCCAAAATTTCCAAAATGGCTGCGAACTCAGAGTGGGTTCTCTGAGCTTGATATCTCCAGTACTGGCATTTCTGATACAATGCCAAACTGGTTTTGGGACCTGTGTTCCAAAGTTGAATACTTGGACTTGTCCAACAACAAAATTGATGGTGAACTGCCTGATTTGTCAACCAAGTTTGGTGTTTTTCCAGAAATTGATCTTAGCCATAACAATTTCCGGGGTCCAATACACTCACTCCCTCCAAAAGTAAAATCCCTTTATCTCTCAAACAATAGTTTTGTGGGTTCGATTTCTTTTGTGTGCAGAGTTCTCAAATATATGTCGATAGACCTCTCGGATAATCAATTCTCTGGAGAGATTCCAGATTGCTGGCATCACCTCTCACGTCTGAACAATCTCAATCTTGCAAACAATAATTTCTCTGGGAAAGTTCCTCCCTCTTTTGGGTATCTGTATTCTCTCAAAGCATTGCAATTGAGAAACAACAACTTCACTGGAGAATTGCCATCCTCATTGCAGAACTGCACATTACTTAGAATTTTAGATCTGGGGAAAAATCAGCTCACCAGGAGAGTCCCGTCATGGTTAGGAACATCTCTAGTGGACTTGATCATTGTTAGCCTTAGAGAGAACCAGTTCTATGGAGAGCTTCCTCTGAGTTTGTGTCATCTTAGCGACATTCGTGTCTTGGATCTTTCTCAGAACAGAATTGCAGGGAGAATTCCACATTGCGTGAGCAACTTCACATTTTTGAGTTTGACAAAGAGCTCCTATGGAACCACCCTAGCAGGCAAAATATTTTTTGCCTTCCAATATGATCCCTACATAACCAACATTTTGATTCAATGGAAATACAATGAGCAGGAATATAGTAGGAAGTTGAGACTCTTGAAAGTGATTGATCTTTCGAGCAATCTACTGGCAGGAGATATTCCAGAAGAATTTTCTAGTCTTCACGGATTAATTTCCTTGAACCTGTCAAGAAACCATTTGACTGGGAAAATCATTCCGGAAATAGGCCAGATGGGAAGGTTAGAATCTCTTGATTTGTCTCATAATCAACTCTCCGGAGGAATTCCAATAAGCCTGGCTGGTTTGAGTTTTCTTCAAATTCTTGACTTGTCCAACAACAACCTGTCTGGGAAAATTCCAACAAGCACTCAATTGCAGAGTTTCAATCCATCCTCTTATGCCCAAAACAGTGGATTGTGCGGTGATCCACTCCCCCAGTGTCCTAGAAATGTTCCAACACCCAAAAACAAAGAAGAGGACGAAGATGATGGGATTATCACCCCGGGGTTTTACATATCAATGGCCCTGGGATTCTCTCTTAGCTTCTGGGGCTTTCTTGTCACTTTGTTCCTCAAACACTCTTGGAGATACGCCTATTACAGGTTCTTAAATGACTTCACAGACTGGGTTTATGTGATTGTCAAAGTTAATTTGGTTAGACTGCAGAGGAGGCTTAAGTGCCGTGAAATGTGAATGATAACTGGTAAGTCTCATATGCTCACTCCATAATAGTTTAAAAGAACCCATTTTGCACTTTCTTTCATACACTAATACTAATTAAAGCCTTTCTTGAAACCTAGCGGATCCGTTTGTTTTGTGCAAACTAGCTGGGAAAAGATACTACCTGCAGCATTGCAGCAGCAAGAGCAATAAAGGGATATTTGTTGGTTTAGTAGGCAGTATTTGGGAGAAGAATAAAGAGATATTTGTGTTTCAATCAATAGTTTAAAAATCTTATTTCCAACGTATTGTATCACAATAAGTGTTGCTGTCTACTATTTACAACTCCTTTATAAATCGTCATAAATGCCTATTTGACATCCTCAATTCAATGCTGACTCTACAATTTATTATGCTATTTTTGCCCACAAAAAGAGAAATCCATCTCGCCATGGGCTGATTTAACATAATTATAAAAGGATAAATCACAGTGACTCAATAACTCATGGTGTCCTTACCCCATTTTGGATCATGGGCCGATTGAACCCTACCACTAGAGCTAGTCATGCAATTAACTCACTAGTCAGATCTTAGTTTTCATGGGCACACAAGGAATCAAATCCAGCCATAACATCAAGTCAGACGACAAACCACTACGCTAAGTCCGGGGACAAAATGCCCCACTTGATGGTGGATAATTATTTTGATCATACTATCAAAGAAAAATGAAAAAAAGCGGTGGAGCTTAACCTGTGGAAAACTGATGCTTTCCAATAGATTAATCGACCTAACCAAACATACACTAGTACAAAATGAGTCATTTGCGTCTTTACTAAATGACAATACGCGTCTTTAAAGACGCGTATGGCACAGACGCAAAAATAATACAAATACAAAGTAGCAAACTAATGTCACATGCAGTGTGAGATAAAACAAATCAAATGAGAGATAAGTGACCTAAGCAGATCAAATCATCCATGAAAGTTCCAGTATTTACACCAACTATCAAATTATATGTGACATAAATTTCAAAATACTCACCACATTAATAACTTGCTCCTCTTCTGGCATATCTTCAACAAACACAGGGCTTTTTTCTGGAGCCTTGACAATTTCATCAGCAGTGCCCATCATCATTAACCTTTGTCCCTAAAAGAAATACCAAAGTCAAATATATTTAATTGCTGGCAACTTCTTTAGTGAATAAGAGTTTAATAAAATTAGCAACAGGAAATCATGTACCTCTTTCACTGCCAGTTTTGACCAATCTGCATCATCCTAAATGGTGAAAGAAGAAGCAATTTCTCAATAACAGAAATTGAATTTAGCACTAGAAGAATGACAATCGTCCAAGTAAAGCAATTAAAAAATCAGGTAAATAGAAGTTTCTAATACCTCCTTTTGCCACTTTACGCTCACTGCAATGCATACCTTCAATAAACCACCTTTAACCATAATCTTCTGCCTTTCAGGTGGCACCCCAGTCAGATCAAATAGCTGGCATTTGAAGACATGGAGGCTGGCTAGTATCAATTTCCACGGCAGGAAACACCTCCTTTTGCCACTTTACGCTCACTGCAATGCATACCAAGTTGAATGCTCAAAAAGAAACTCAACAAAACTAGCCTTCACAACTGAATATATTTTTATTTTTATATTTTTTCAAAAAGCCAGTTCTCCAGGAATGCAGCAATTTAACAATTTTCAAGGGAACAATTCCAACTATTATATGCAAATAGCTAATGCTGAATCGGGTTATTAACCGATCAAAACGGTTCTTCTACAGCCCTAACAGACATAATCTGAATTGGGCAATCAAATCTAATCGACAGGTTTGGCTAAAGAATCACCTATTTAGCTCCTAAAACTTAGATTGAAGTTCAAACAACTAAAATCTATTTTTCGGAAATTCGAAAAGCAACAAAATACTGAACAGTACTGTAGTAGTCTGTAGATCGAAGCAGAGCCGCCGCACGTCGAACGTAACCTCCACCGCCGGAACTACTATCGTGGTCGCCGGAAACTCGTCGCCACTCCAAGCTGGAAGCTTGCTCGTCGCCGGAGAACGTAGATCTACGTCGTCGTTGTCGGAGTCGCGAAGCTACGCCGGAGTTGCTGCTGCTGCCTTGCTGGAGCTGCTGCTGGTACATCGTGAACTAAGAAGATGACGGCGAATGAAGGGCTGAATGAGACGACCGTACGAAGAAGATGGTGAAGTGGTGAAGGAAGAAGCAAAGATGGCGGTGAAGCTAAGGAAGAAATGAATCTGAATCGAAGAAGCTGAGTGAAGAAGCAGATGATTTAGAAATTTTGTTTTCAAAAAAAAAATGATTTATAACTTTTTTTTGGAAATATTTAGATTTTTTTTTTTAAGTTAACAATTAACATAAGTCTTGCCAAATATATCAAGTAGTAGAGCTGGCCAAAGTCCGAGCCTGGGTCGGGATCGGATTGGTCCTGGGTCTCGGCTAGCACAGCTCGAGACTGGCTCATAGTAGAGGTGGTCACGGGCCGGTTCAAGGTCAAACCAACCTTGAATCGGCCCGAAAAAAAGTGGACCTGGGCCTCATTGGGCTTGAGTCGGGCTTAGCTCAAACCGGAACCGGCTTATTAAGGGGCGGTTCAAGTCCTTTTTAAAATAATTCGAGCCCAGCACGAAACCGGCCCTTGGCCCAGGCCCGAGCACGGCCCAAGCTCCTAACCGGCCCAGGCATGGTCCAGGCACGACCCAGGCCCGGACAAACACAACTAATTTATCCCTATAAATGTCCTTACCCAATTTATTTTTATCACACAAAAATTCTTAATCCTACACTCTCTTACTTCTACTCACAACAATTCTCCATAAATTAAAAGCAAACCCAATTTAAAATTCTTTTATAAATTTTTAATTTATCACTCTAACATAATTTAGTGAGTAAAAATCAAATGAACTTTATAAATTATACTACATTTTATAATATTTATAAGTTATCAAATAATATTAAGTCTTATATAAAGTTTTAATAGTACAAGACTACAAGTTTAAATGTATTTAACGTCATTTAATGATTTATTATATTGTTTATTTTGTTTTAAATATATAAATTTTTATATAAATTGATATATTTTTGTTTGAAATGAGATTTAAACCCTTAACCTCTTAATTTTAATTACTAATTTAAATTCTTTCCAATTAAGCTATCACAACCTCTTAATACATGAATAATAATTAATGTATATATACACAGTACACACCGTAACACACTTTTCTAAAATTAATATTTTTGTTATTAATCTCAAAATTTAAAATTAACATGAATTTATATTAAATTAAAATTTATAAATGACGTTAACTACATTTGAACTTGTAGTCTTGTACTATTAAAACTTTATATAAGACTTATTTACTTAATATTATTTGATAACTTATAAATATTATGAAATGTAGTATAATTTATAAAGTTCATTTGATTTTTACTCACTAAACTATGTTAGATGATAAATTAAAAATTTATAAAAGACTTTTAAATTGGGTTTGTTTTTAATTTATGGAGAATTGTTGTGAGTAGAAATAAGAAAGTGTCGGATTAAGAATTTTTGTGTGCTAAACATAAATTGGATAAGAGTATTTATAGGATAAAATGGTAAATAAAAAGAAAAAAACAAAAAAAATTTAGCCATTGCACTGGCCGAGAGGCGAGAACATGAGGCCAAGCCTAGTCTAGCCTCCGACAGAGGCTACATGCAACGACCAAATATATTTGGCTGTTGGACGTTGCAGGGATGAGTAGTAAGTAATAAGTTTAGCTGCCACAATCAAAATTACTATTTTTTTTTTAGAATTTTAGGCATTTAGCCATAGAAGCAAAGCTGACATACTTTGCTGCCATGGCTGTGTTTGCCCGGGCCGAGCTCGTGCCTGGACCGGTTAGGGGCTTGGGCCATAGAAAGGCAATGAAGAAGATTGTGGGCTTTTGACACTTGAGTTTTACATATCCATGGTGTTTGATTTTTCACTAAGCTTCCGGACTTCATGCATGGTCACTTTGTTCCTCAAGGCCGGATTCATGGAGATTTCCCTACTATATGTTCTTAAATGATTCCAAAGATTGGGTGTATGTAAAAATGAAAGTTTCTTTGGTAAGACTGTGGAGGAAGTTTAGGCCACACCAGATGGGATGCATGGTAAGTTTTATTAACTAGTTGCTTATATGCTCTTTACAATTAATCCCTTTTTGGCATTCCATTTCATTCCATTCGGTATCACGCCTATACATAAAGCCTTTTTCACAACCTTGATATGTCTGATGGATTTTGCATAAACCGGGCATGAACACTACCAGCAGAAGTGCATTACATCGGAAATTTGAAGAAACAATGCAGTACGTCAGTTAGAAGATTTTGTGTGTTTTGTTCACTGGTCATTTAATTAGTACTCCGTAAATAAAGTCTGTATTTTCATGAACTCTATACTCCAACTCCATTGTATCGAATTTTAAAATATATAGATTAAAAAAATTAAATTTAACAAAACATATAGCTTGACTGCATTTGTTAAGATCCATAACAAAAGAGTTCTCAATGGTAGACAACAACATTTATTGTGGTACAATAATACATTCGAAATAAGGACTTTAAACTATAATCTTTTCCCAGTTTGCACAAAACCATCTCATCCGCCTGTCTCTGAAGTCCTGGCATCTCTCCATGAGCCTTTGAAGAAAAAAATGACAAGAAATCCCCAGAAGCTAAGAGAGAACCCCAGGACCATTGATATGTAAAACCCCTGCGTGATAAGCCCATCATCTTCATCTTCATCTTCATCTTCGTCTTTGTTTGGGACATTTCTAGGACACTTGGGCAGTGGATCACCGCACAGTCCACTGTTGTGGGCATAAGAAGATGCATTGAAACTCTGCATTTGAGTGCTTGATGGAATTTTCCCAGACAGGTTGTTGTTGGACAAATCAAGAATTTGAAGAAAACTCAAACCCCCCAAACTTACTGGAATTTCACCAGAGAGTTGATTATGAGACAAATCAAGAGATTCTAACATTTCCATCTGACCTATTTCCCGGTTGATTTTCCCAGTCAATTGGTTTCTTGACAGGTTCAAGGAAATTAATCCATGAAGATTAGAAAATTCTTTAGGAATATCTCCTACCAGTAGATTGCTTGAAAGATCAATCAATTTCAGGAGTCTCAATCGGCCACTATATTCCCGCTCATTGTATTTCCACTGAATCAAAATGTTAGACATGTAGGAATCAATGTCATTTTGGAAGATAAAAAATGCTTTACTTGCTATAGTGGTTCCGAAGGAACTGTGTATCAAACTCAAATATGTAAAGTTGCTCAAGCAGTGTGGAATTCTCCCAGTAATTCTGTTTTGAGAAAGATCCAAGACATGAATGTCGTTAAGGTGACACAAACTCTGAGGAAGCTCTCCAAAGAACCGGTTCTCTCTAAGGCTAACAATGATCAAGTCCACTAGAGATGTTCCAAACCATGACGGGACTCTCCCGGTGAGCTGATTTCTCCCCAGATCTAAAATTCTCAGTAATGTGCAGTTCTGCAATGAGGATGGCAATTCTCCAGTGAAGTTGTTGTTTCTCAATTGCAATTCTTTGAGATAATACAGATACCCAAAAGAGGGAGGAACTTTCCCAGAGAAATTATTGTTTGCAAGATTGAGATTGTTGAGACGTGAGAGGTGGTGCCAGCAATCGGGAATCTCTCCAGAGAATTGATTATCTGAGAGGTCTATAGACATAAATTTGAGAACTCTGCACACAAAAGAAATCGAACCCACAAAACTATTGTTTGAGAGATAAAGGGATTTTACTTTTGGAGGGAGTGAGTGTATTGGACCCCGGAAATTGTTATGGCTAAGATCAATTTCTGGAAAAACACCAAACTTGGTTGACAAATCAGGCAGTTCACCATCAATCTTGTTGTTGGATAAGGCCAAGTATTCTACTTTGGAACACAGGTCCCAAAACCAGTTAGGCATTGTATCAGAAATGCCAGTACTGGAGATATCAAGCTCAGAGAATCCACTCTGAGTTCGTAGCCATTTTGGAAAATTCGGACCCAATTTGCAGTCTTTGAAATGTATGATTTGTAGCTGAAAGGGAGGGTTCCAATCAGGGCTGAAGTTGAAAGATAGCCCCGAGTTAAACGACAGTTTGAGCAGTTTTAAGTTGGAAAGCTTCAAAAAGTGGGCTTCATTTATTACTCCTTCAAATGAATTTTCTGAGACATCCAAACTGTGAAGCTTGGATAGTTGGCCTATGCTTTCTGGTAAGACACCTCTCAACTGATTTCCACCAAGAAGAAGCTCTTGCATTGATGAGAATGGCGATAAATCTGGCAATGATCCAGTTATCTTATTTTGGCTCAAATCAAGAACTCTAAGACCGGATTCAACTCCAAGACTTCTGTTGTCTGGAAATAGCCCTGTGATCTCGTTACTTGCCAGCTTTAATTCCTCAAGACTTCCAAAGCTCGACGGCAATGAACCATTCAAGTGGTTATATGATGCTTTCAACTTTCTCAAGAATGGAAATTGGGTTCTAATATCTGGGAGTGGACCAAAGAGTTCATTGCCATCTAACCGCAAGAACTGCAGAGACTTTCCAGCACGTTTTGATAACTTTTCAAGTAGATCAGGAAGGGGTTCTTTCAATACATTAAAATTTAATTCCAGAGAGGTGAGATGGCTCAAATTTCCCAAAGAGTTGGGAATGCCTCCGGTGAAATAGTTTGAACTAAGATTGAAGCTCCGGAGAAATTTCATTCCTTGAAATGCGTCTGGTATGGAGCCTCCTAAGTTGTCATTATGTGACAGGTCAATGGTAGTGAGAGTTGTGTTAAAGTTTTGCAGCCATTTGAAAACTGAAGGAGAAGTGAGATTGTTAAGTGACAAGTCAACCACTGAAAGAGAGGTGGAAGAAGAAGAATTAGCAGAGAAAATTGTAAGATCAGTGAGTTCGCAAAAAGAGAGTTTCAGTTCCTCAAGGGAGTTAGGGAGGGTGACACTTGTTTTCACAAACTCTCTCAGTTCAAAACGAAGGGCAGTGAGATCAATGTATTTCAGGGAAGAAAGATGAGAGAGAAACTCAAGACTTGAGATTGGAAGAAAGTCATTTCCGCTCAGATCAAGAACTTGGAGATTGGTAAGATTCCCAAGCTGATTTGGAAGTTTACCAGAAAACATAGCAGAACTGAGATTCAAGACTCTTAAACTATGGAGGGAACCAATGAAATCTGGGGTGTTATGTCCCTGGAAATCATTGTAACTAAGATCAAGATAACCCAGATGCTGCAGTTGAAGCAAAGAAGGACTAACCTTTCCCCTCAGCGGCGTCTGAAGCAGAAAGCCATGATCGTCCACAGGGCAGTGAAGATCAAGAACAGTTACATGGCCATCACTGCAACGAACACCCCACCATTTACAGCATTCTCGAGCTCTTTCGTGATCCTCATCATCACTTCCCCATGAAGACAGAATGCCATCTTCATCAAAAACCCCTTTCTTGAACTCTAGAAGAGCTTCTCTCTCCCTCTCCAAACACCTTACTGCAGTACTCTGGGCTCCATCTCCTTGCGTGAATGTGAAATTATAAAGAATTATAGCAAGTGAAATGAAGCGAACCGCAAATATGCTCTTACGCTTCGTGCATGTCATTTTTGAAATGTTACTATTTAATTTGGTAGTAACAGACTAAATAGAATGGATAGGAGTTCGTTGTAGACTTGTAGTTTATATATGTATACACACATATACCTGCATATTATTATTTTTAATTAGTTTTGTGGTATAGATTTCAACAAAGACCAGAGAAAACTTAGTACAGTAGTATGAACAAAACATAGTGCTTTCATACCAATTCTCATCCAGAGTGAAGATCTGGTCTTCGAACCATTATTCTGGTTTTTCAAGGACAAGTATATTTTAATGTATTTTTTCAAATCATTAATTTTTGGCATAGGAATATTGTATACCTATCGTTTTGTGTAATGTTACATTAGTTTTAGGGGCAAATTGGTCCACAATGTGTTATATTGACCATAACAAAAAGTATATTTTTAATATACACAAAATATATTATTTGTGAATATACATTATACAAAATAATATACTTTTAGTACTAAAATAATATATTTTTCCTGAATACAATGTACATTATTAATATATTAAAAGTACATTACTTATGTACTGAATATACATTATTTGATAGTGTGGTTCATACAGCTGTGTGCCCCATGGTCCACACAATAATGATTGTTGAGTTTTAAGTGCTACAAGCAAGTCTGTCAAAACAAAGGCTCGCACGGGTTTAACTCATTGGTTCGCAATATTTGAGGACCAATTTGAAACTTGATACTGCCAATGAGAATTATGCTCAAAGTGACTGATCCTTTATGCGCACCGATAATTTGACTATATTTATTGAGCTATTGAATTACTGTAATTTACATCCTCCTGCATACTTATTCCGTCGGATAGGAGTGTGACCTTTGGGTTTGGGACAATAACATATGAACTGATATCTTACTTAGTAGAAAACCTGATGTTTACTAGCCAGGTCAAAAAGGATTAGTTATATTTTTAAAAAAGTTTCAAAGTTTAGGCTCTGTTTGGCAAACCTAGCTGAAAAGTTATAAGTTAGGAGCTGAAAGCTGAGAAGCTATAAGCTCGGAGCTGAAAACTGAAGAGCTGTTAAGCTAGCTGTTATGATTGAAAGTGTTTGGTAAAATTAATTTTTTGATAAGTTGATAAATGTAAAAAGACTAAAAAGAACATCTTCATAAAATTTAAATTAGTTTGTTTTCATATTAAATTTTTTCCCAAAATAGTCCCTTGACTATTGCTCATTCTCAATTTTACATTTCGACTTTCAATTGCATCCAATGTGGTCCCTTGACTTTAAAAAATTACCCTAAATTGGTCCCCCGTTAGCTTTTTCGTCAATTGGGCGTTAAGATTGGGGGTATTTCCGTCCATTCACAATAAATTTGTCACCTCCCTTTCTAGCTCCCGCCGGCGATGCACGCATTTTGTTCGGCGCAGAACGGGTCACCTCCCCTCCCACTATTTTTCCTCATTCTAGCAGCATCAACCTCCAGAGAAAGCTCAGTACGAGCAAAATATCTCGCAAGATCACTATTTTTCTGACCCAAAGCCTGTTGATTCCTTGTATTTATGATTCACTCTAAAATCCCCGTTTTCAAAGTCAGAATGCCCTAGAAACTTTCTGTTTTGAAACATCAACTCTAATCTCGAGGTTTCGCACGGAAAATTCACCAAAAAAAAAAAAAAAAAAACAGATTAAAACTAGATTAAACGTTGAAGTTCAAGAGATAAACCTTGGTCGTTGGAATTATCGGAAGCCATGCCACCATCACAGCCTCGGTGAAATAATCGCAGCCCTAGGATGGTGTATTCCATCAAAATTTTCGCAGGTTAAGAAAACCATACACCTCCAGTTGGTTTCTCCGTTGATTGGTCGGACTCGGCAGCTTGAAGGGTGTTTTCGCCGCTAGCTTAGAAAGCCCACATCTGACCCGATTCGAATCCGGATGTGCTGGGGATGGCGCTCACCGGCAATTGCATACTGGCGACTTTGAATTGCTTATCTGACGGCGAATCGGATCCTCTGGCAATTGCTTATTCGACAGCGAATCGGATCCTCTAGCATTGGAAGGTTCTCCTTGGGGATTACTTGAGCCTTCGTACTTGAACAAATCTTCTCTATATCTTTTTCCCAAGTAATTCTCTGTCTTGTCCACTACCTCCGCCTCCTCCGCCGTCATCTCCGCCGTCGGAAATTGTGTCTGCGATCTGGTTCGGCGTTAAGAAGTGAGGGGTCTGGTGGAACCCTAGCATATGTGAGAAGCCTTCCTCGAAAGGGTGAGCCGGAGGATGGTGAGCAGCAGCTAGAGCTAATGTGCTGTGGAAAGAATGCAGCGCTGATTTCGACGGTGGCGCCGAGAGAGTCGTAACGGAGGACCACCTCATTTACTGTGAATTGTCTAAAATACCCCCCACTTAACGCCCAGTTGACCAAAAAATTAACGGAGGGCCAATTTGGGGTAATTTTTAAAAGTCAAGGGACCACATTGAGTGCAATTGAAAGTCGAAATGCAAAATTGAGAATGAGCAATAGTCAAGGGACCATTTTGGATAAAAACTCTATTAAAATTTAACATTTTATCTTTTAAAAAAAATTAACATTTTGAAATAAAACTATTAGCATAATCATGATCTAGCATCTCATAATGAAGTAGCAATATTGTTGCAAATCTCATAATAATAATAATAATAATAATAATAATAATAATAATAATAATAATAATAATAATAATAATAATAATAATAATAATAATATTTGCGGTGAAAGTTGCGGATAAAGGAGAAGAGAAAAGGATTTTAATTGGGAAGGGTAAATTATGTTATTTCTTTAAAATAATAAGGATAAAGATGGAAAAAAGTTAAGAAGCTATGAGCTTATTTTGAAACGCTACCTAAAGTAGCGTTCCAAAATAAGCTCTTATTTTAAACTAGGAGCTTATTTTGGGAACATTAAAAAACAGAGCTTATAGCTTATTAGTAGCTTAAAATAAGCTATAAGCTCCTAAATAAGCTTTGCCAAACAAACTGAACTCTTATTTAAAAAACTAGTGTTTTTAAAATAACTAATAAACCCTTACTAATTAAAGTTTATATGAAATCAAATTTATTTATTATAATAATAATCTAATATATAATGTATATGTATATTATTATCATTAAAGAATATAAGAAAATATATGGTGAATGCATGTGTATGATAACAATAATGGAAAAGATAATCGGAAGTTATAACGGTAATAGATATTTGTGTCCAAAAAATTATATACTACAACTCTAAAAGCACAATGTATAAAATAATTAGCATTAAAAACATGGACATAAATGAGAGATATAACTTTAATTGAGACTTTAAAAAATAAAATAAAATTAAAATCAATATATAATATATAATTTCAACATAGTCTTTGCGTATAAAACGGGGTCTAAAGAGTGTGAGAAGGTGTGAGTACGGACTATGGAGTAGTCAAGTTCAATCCTAACCTTTTCAATTCCTTAAAAAAAAAAAAGGTTTCCATTCGTTGAAAATGTCTTCAAGTTTCTCTATTTAGGCAAATTGGGTTTCGTTATCTATACCCTACATTTAGGGCTGTGCAGATGGCTAAACACTTCATCATTCAAGAGATATCCATATCTAAGGGAGCAAATACCAATTTTAACTCCACGAGTATTAGTAAAATGATAGTTTTAGTTTACATGTTTAATTCCTACCAATTTTCATCTACGATTATTGTTTTAGTATCAAAATTCATCACGCAGATCACCCATTCGTTTAAGACATGCCAAAATATAAAATTATTAAGGGTATTTTTATCATTTTTAAATTAAGATTCCAATTTTAACATGAATAAAGAGATTTAAGCTCTAAGATCAATCCCAATTCACAGTTCTCCTCCTCAAATTAAGGTAGGATGGGGATGAGAATTGCGAATTAAGATCGATCTTAGGGTTTAAATTTCCTTGTTAGTACTCAAATTAAGATTTTAAGTTGAAAATTACGTAAATATCACTACAAATTTTAGATTTCGGCATGCCTTAAATGAAAGGGTGATTAGCGTGATAAATTTGACACTACAACAATAATCGTAGATTAAAATTGGTACTAAAACAATAGTCGTGATGAAAATTGGTAGGAATTAAATGTGGGTCAAAACTGTCATTTTGCTAATACTCGTGGGACCAAAAATGGTATTTGCTCATATCTAAGGTGTTTGGTTGGATGTTAGAGCATCAATATCAATAGTTATTTAGGAGATATTTCTGACAAATTGAAAAGAGACAGTAGGAGAGAGAGATATATATATAGGAGATATTTACAAATTGGAGAGATAAATGAAGAGAGAAGGTAGGAGAGAGAGGGTTTGGATTCCTTGCAAATGAAGAGATATTTCAGAAAAGTGGGACACACTGAAAAATACTTCCCCCTCGCCTAAGCTACATGAGTGTCACCACTGCGCGATAGCGCCTGACAATTGTTATTATATATATATATATATATATATATATATATATATATATATATATATATATATATATCAATTTTGCTTTATTCTTTATTTTTTGTTTTTTTTTTCTCTCCCCTCTCATATTTTCTTTCCTAATCACACTTATAAAAAACTCATCAAAAATCACAAAATGTCTCCACTATTACGGATGCTCTAATTGAAATTGAAATGTAATTATAACACGATTCTTTGAACTTCCAAATTACAATGTTTGGCTGGAGGGAATTGCAATTCTACAGAATTACAATTCATTTCATTTGTTGAATTGGAATTCATCGTCCCCCCCTCCACCCCCCATGATTTCCAATTCAACATAACATAGAAAGGAAAAAAAAAAAATTGAAAATAACAATTTTGCCCTTAGTTGTTATTGTTATTATTAGTACAAAAATGCATTTAAGTTTTTATGTTATTTTTCTATTTCACATTCTCAATAATTCAATTCATTCATACTAAACAATTAAATTTAAAATTTCTTTATTTTCACCTTATTATTGTTCTCACCGAATTATAATTATTTTCTCTTTAATTTTATCCTCCAACCCAACG